CATAGGCCGGAATGTAGCAGCGTACCAAGATGACATCCTTATTTATACAAGACCAGGGGTGGACCATAAAGCGGTTGTGAAAGAAGTATTGGACATCCTGAAAGCTCAAAATGTATGGCTCAAGCCTGAGAAATGCAAATTCTCAAAATCTGAAATTGCATACCTAGGACTGATAATTTCACGAAATCAAATCAGGATGGACAAAACAAAAGTCAAGGCAGTCACCGATTGGCCAACTCCAAAAAATCTCTCTGAGGTTCAGACGTTCATTGGATTTGCAAACTTCTACCAACGCTTCATTGATCAATTTTCAAAAATAGCTCGACCACTACATGAATTATCTCAAAAAGATACTACTTTTAACTGGACAGAGGAGCGTGAAAGATCCTTTCAGCTACTCAAAGATTCTTTCACTACAGCACCAATACTAAAGATCGCAGATCCGTACAAGCCTTTTGTACTGGAATGTGATTGTTCCGACTATGCGTTAGGAGCAGTATTGTCTCAAATTTCAGATGATGACGGTGAACTTCACCCAGTGGCTTTCCTCTCCCGGTCCCTGATCAAAGCAGAAAGAAATTATGAGATATTTGATAAAGAACTGCTCGCAGTGGTCAGCGCATTCAAGGAATGGAGACAGTATCTTGAAGGAAATCCGAACAGGCTCAGCGTAATCGTATATACAGATCACAAAAATCTTGAATCACTTATGTCAACCAAAGAACTCACAAGAAGACAAGCCCGATGGGCGGAGACGTTAGGAAGCTTTGATTTTGAGATCAGGTTTCGACCAGGTAAACAATCAACAAAACCGGATGCGCTATCAAGACGACCTGATTTAATGCCAAAAGAAGGTGAAAAATTATCATTCGGACGATTACTTAAACCAGAAAACCTTCCAGCAGATGCTTTTATTGATGAACTTGACTTAATAACATCATGGGTAGTGGACGATGATATCATTCAAGATGTTCAGATTGATGAAATTGACAACACCTACAATTTAGGGGAAGGAAATTCAGAACTAGCATGGAATGATGCAAGAATATTAGACGAAATCAAAAACAAATCAAAATCCGACCCCAAGATTACTGAATTACTAAAGCTATGCGAGGAATCTTCATTCAAAAAGCTATTGAACGACCACAAGAACATTAATGGTGTTTTATATTTCAAAGGAAACATAGTAGTTCCAAATGATCACAATCTGAAGGTTCAAATACTGAAATCAAGGCATGATAGCCGACTAGCAGGTCATCCAGGCAGAATGAGAACTCTAGCATTAGTCAAGAGGGGGTACTACTGGAAATCAATGAAAGCCTTCATTAACAATTATGTAGACGGATGTCAATCGTGTCAAAGGATCAAATCAAGGACTGTAAAACCATTTGGTAGTCTAATGCCCCTTCCAATTCCGAGTGGACCGTGGGTAGACGTGTGTTATGACCTGATCACTGATTTACCTAATTCAGAAGGTTACGATAGTATATTAACGGTAGTCCACTACTAACACTACAAGAGACTTCTTAGGGGGGTTGGCTCTATTAGACCAAGTCTAAACTTATATGTAACTAAACTCAGGTTTAGTTAGGGAGTAGTTACAAGAAGTAGGACCTTACAAAGGCTCCTTTGTAACCACAACTGTAAAAAGGGCGAGCGCTGTCTTTCTATCCTGACAGACACTTTTTATTTTCTTCTTACTGAGGTGGTGTGGGGGGTATGCCCCGGTCGAGCGGATCCTAGTGGTAGACGTCTACCGCGGGATACAGTCCGCTCAACCGGGTTGAGAACAAAGGAGGCCCGTTGGGGTCTTCTCTTCCCCAAACCTCACGGGGGGCCTAGCCGTGAGCCTAGGGAAGAGCCCAATCTACGGTCCTCCGTGAGGTACCCCTACCCACCACGACCTTCAGTACAGGGGGGAGAGTGAGTGTAGGTTGCACCCTGTTCAGATCTAGAGTCTTGGCGTTCGCGAGATAGAGTTTGCTTTACACATTGTTGCAGACAAGGTTTTTTAAGAATTTTCTGGAAGATACCGTTTTGGGACAATTTCCGACGATCTTCAGCCACATCTCTCACCACGTGAATACTACCGCAATCGGGACATGGAATCAGCACCTTAGCGGATAATTCAAGCATCCTCAACTCGTTGAGCTCACCAACTACCGGGAGGTACTACCTTTCCCGAGTCGCTTATCTCCTAAGTTGTATCTGACCACTTCAATTCTTCCAGCAAGCTGACTGTCGACTTTAACTCTTTCGCTGAGAATTTTCTCAAATATATCATGTACGACTTTGAAGACCAACGTCCGCACCGTTTCACTTCATCACGACTCGCACCCATATTCCACCTGAGTGAGGCTCCACCGATCCTGAAAGAATGGCCGTGAAGTAACTGCTTCCTCTTAGGACGTTTTGTATTCCATATCTTTCTAAATTCATTAATCGATTCGGCCTTTCCAAGACGGACCTTTACTCCTTTCCGAGTAATTGAAAAGATTTTGTCTGTCGGTTTCCGAGACTTAAACGCATACCAAGATTCTAACATCGAGACCGGGTCTAGGAGGGAGTTTTGTCGATGTAAGAAGATCCACTGAATCTCTCCTGGATCAGCGGTTTTTGCGTTATGGATGGCAATATTAACGTATGATTTATCTTTCGCCCAGAACAAATCGTCCCACCTCGGCATTCGTTTCTTAGGGTCGTCTGTGATTAATTCTCCCAGGCGTGCTGTTCCCCAGAACGCAGTTAAGGCTACTGTTAGCAAGGCTAACCCCCGTTCTCCACGGTCTGGTAACTCTTCCAGTAGGATTACCAAATCCGAAAGTAGTACCGGGGGTCTCGTACGGTCAACATCTGCGAATTTTGCCTCTAGCAATCTCGACGCCTTTAGGAGGGGTTTGATTGAGTGATTGACGTTTGATGGAAAGTCGACTCCATGGTAGATATGCCAAGCCTTCACTCCGGCGATGTAGGCTTTCAGTGTGGAAGCCTTTACGGACTCGTCATTCGCAGTGATTCTTTCTTCCTTAATGGACGCCCAAACCACGAATTGACGCATTACCGAAGACGAGATTGGTAACAAGAGGTGGCGTTCAATCTTTTTCACCGTGGCGAACCAATGGAGCTTAATGATTCCTGAATTATAACCTTTCAGCGTTCCGTCGCTCCATGCCCCGTTCAAGAAGTGTTGTTTCACCACGTCTGATTCCGAGTTGTCTACTCCCAGAGCGTCTTTCCTGAACGCACCGAATGGCTTCAAGATCCTCCGTAGGTTCTTTGGCTTGGATTCCGGGCTGCACACTTTCTTTCTCATCGTCGGCTACTAAATAGTGTGCGTGGCTAGAGGGAGCTTGGGTTCTAACGAAACTTGGTGTAACAAAAACAACAGGTTCGCTGGTATCTCCACTCGGACTTCATGTGACCAGGACAGATCTCCTAGTATGCCTCGCGACAAATCGTCTGCCGGGTTAAGTTTAGATGTGACACGTTTCGCTTTAATGTTACATTCCAAATTGGTAAGTAACCTTTGAATCTCTTTCCACTCGTCATTAACTAAAACATCCTTTGACTTCCTCTTGTTTACTGTTGACTGTGACGTAGTGTTGTCTGTCCACACCACGAATCGCTTACCTAAGTAACATCGATGTACGTATACAAGAAGTCAAGACTGGGGTTACTTCATGTTCGTGTAGGTAGGGTTTAGGCTTACCTCTAAAATTCCGGAGCTTTTTTACCACCAACAGGCCTAGACGGATCGCAGCTGTTTCCGCCCAAGCTATGGAGCGCTTCCCAACCGGCGAGTTCTTTAACTGCCATCCTTCTACGAACTCGAAACACGCCCAGTGTTTACCTACTAGCACCCCTATCCCAAACGATGATGAGGCGTCACCCGCCCATTCTATTTCCAACGCTTTTGATTCAGGGATAATCGGTCTCGAGTTAAAATTACTCAGACACAAATTCCACTCCTCTAGGTCCGCCCTTGCTCCCACCGTAAGGTGCCTCAAGGCTGCCTTGTTCCTCCAACCTTTCATCATGCGATACAAGGAATTAACGTACGGTTTCATATGCGGGACAATATTAGTTGTGTGCACCAAGCGCCCTGTCACCTGTTCTATTGTCTTAAAGGAACAGGGGTTTGGATCAAGTAAGTCCAAAATTTGATTCCGTCTCTGTTGAAGTTTGTCCTCAGGCAGTCTGACTGTATGGTCTCGGCCATTCCAAATGAAGCCTAGAAATTTCTGCTCGTCGGCAAATTCGTGGTTTTTGACTGGATTTGTCTGAACTCCTAAACTACCACTAATCAACTCAATAGTTTCTAAAGTCACTAGATCTCCTGGGCGCCTGAAAAGTAAGTTATCATCTACCCAACGAAAGATCTTCCTGATTCCTGCGACTTTTTCCATTATCAGTTTCCAGACATGAGTCGGGCCCCCGAAAACTCCACAGCTAGCCACACCACAGAAGCCAACGGCGAGATCGACCCACAATCGACCTTGATAATCCATAATGATCAAGAACCGACGCTGGCATGGGTGTACTGACAGTTGGCGGTACACCTTCTGCCAGTCGAAAATGGCGGCTTCCCATTCCCCAGGAAACCGTTGTAAGAATCACGCGACTCGATTGAAGTCATCCCATTGGGTACCATAGTTAAGTTTGTTGACGAAAGAGTTAACCGAGGGTATATTTGGGTCGTTTTTAGGAAAGGAAAGATCATTGATCAATCGGATGGAGCCATCACTGTTAACCGCACTACCCATTGGGTTAGAGCGGAAGAAACCGAACTTGTCTTTCAACTGATCGTGAGTAAACGGTCCTGCAATCCGGCCAGCCCGTAGTTCTTTAGCTAATGTTCTTTCAATTTGTGTTTGAACCGCCAATCCAGACTTGTGGTTCGGAGGGGTGTACCACGGAAGGTTTTGTATCGAGTGTTGTGGGATGCCCAGACAAAATCCGAACTCAAACCCGTTGCATATATATGGAATGCTTTTCTCAAGACCCGCTTCTTTCATGTATACTTCCCACTCTTCAATGTTCATTCGACAGGGCACCGGGCTTGGCCACAGGTCGTCTACCGGTACGGTAAATATTTCTCTTTCCCACAGTGGTAAAGGATCCACAGTAACACTTTCTCCGCTCGAATCTTCTTCACTAGACTCAGCCATAGACGACGATTCCTCTTGCTCGCTATCAACTAATCTAGCGTCGACAGCAATGTGGTCTTCAGCTGTTTCGCTGATTGATCTCATATTCGTCGTCTGGCACGCTATGTGGGATCTGGTACTGGTCTACAGTATCAAGAGATTGATTCAAAAATTTCAGATTTCATTGTTCAGGAACCGCTTCCATCATTTTATATGACAACTTATGAGGAGGCGAGTTAAACTCTGATGCGTACCACAAGACAATGATTACAAGAAGATGAAAAAAGGGGGGAAATCGAGCAAGACGGGAGAAACCAATTCAGGGGGGCGAATTTCATCAAAGGAGAGGGTCGAATCCTGTCAGTTCTACGCCTTCTTGCCGCCTATCTAGACAGAAAAGGTCTAGCTTACTTTTCTGTTGGCTCTGCATTATGTGCCTTTTGTGCACCCGTGCTCTCGTTCTGTTTACCCCCTTTGTAAAAGTTGTTCCTTTTTACGAAAGGGGCTGGAGTTCCGGAACCACCGGCTGCATTGGACGCTACCCGTGGGCAAACAGGTCAGTTTCAGAACCACTGGAGTAGGTGTTGCTAATGCTAACCTTCCCCTTGATTCCCTTGCGGTTTGAAGCTCTTGTTGTGAGAGTTCTTCCTTCCGTATTGCCTTTTACCCGCACCTCCCCTATTACCACGTTGGATCGAGGAACCATCATCCGGTTTTGCTTTCGTGGGGGCTGCGGGATCGGGGACAGGTTCTCTGCCTGTCGTGAAGTTGAACCCGAATTTGGGTTTTCCTGGGGCATACGGGTTGTCCTCAAATCCGAGATCATTAGCTCTATCAGCTTCTCTTCTGACAGTGTCTTCTACAGTAGCTTGGAGACCATTCGGTAAGCGGACTTTATCCTTCAAGACAGTCTTCCCGTTCACTTTAGATTTAATCAATTTACGCCTTCTAAATATAACCGTTCTAATAGCCAGATGATACCTTAGAGCAACCATCCAACAATTATACTTTTTCTTCAAGGACGACACGATCATCTTATGCTTCTCAACATAATCCGCGTAGGTCACATGGCCGTAGATTTCTCTGGCGTATCGCTCCTCTAAGTCGCACATTTCAATGAACTCTCCGTAGGTGATCTGACGTTCTCGAGCTTTTTCCGAAGAATTCCCTAATGCTGACTTAGCTTTCTTCTTCTCATCGTCATCTTGATCGTGCCACTCTTGAATAGAGGACTTAACGAATACCGTCAGAGGGACGTAGGAACGTAGCTTTTTAAAGCCTTTGTCCCATTTCGGGGGCAAGTCTGGGAGATCCGCCGATTTGAAATCGACGTCCGAATAGCAGAGCTTGGCCTCACTAATTGCCGAAGAGTCGTCTGTGGTAGGGAGCTCGGATGGAGTCAAGTCGCCGGACGAGTCCGGATCTCCTGAAGTTCTCTTAGGTTTCTTCTTCTTAGACTTTGGGCGATGTTTTGGCTTCCTCTTGGGCGAGTCATCTCCAGATTCGTTTGCCGAAGAAGATGAGAGGTCTTCTACGCTACTACACGGTTTGCGTTTCGAGTTCGAGACAACCACAACCGGAGTCTGCGACGGAGGAGGAGCCTGAGCTCTTGGATTTGGCAAGTCTCGAGGAGCTTGTTCTACCTCTGGGGCTGGAGGGGCGTCGAACTTGGTTGTCTTCCTCAGGACGGCGTCGACTTTGGCTAAGGCAGCCTTGGCTTCTTCAGCTGTGCCGAATTCAACAGCCCAATTAAGCTCATCCATTATGGACAAATCCTGGGGGGGATCTTTGCCTTTGTCTGCCGCGGTTGGAACTGGTATTGACAAACAGTGGTCCAAGGAAAATACAGTCAGTAGATATTCATCTAGACTTCAACCGAGTCACCGTGTTTTGGCGCTGATAGCAGCCTCTCCTCACTCTGTGCCTGGGAATTATCCCGGACAGAGGAGGGATGTCTTCCTCCCCGCGAAATTTCCTCAGGGGAATAATTTCGCCGGGTGGTGTAGACTTCACCGAGCGAGCGCTTACAGCAGCTTCTATCATATAGCTCGGGTGGGGCGCTGATAGCGGCAACCCGATTAATTCACAAGGAATATAATCTTCAGCGCCTTCGGCAGCCGATGACTTGGCACGAAGCCTAAATCTAATGGAAGAGGGGACTCCTCTCCATGAAGAATATGTAAGCTCACCTCTAATTCTTCTACTCCGCTCGAGACTGGGAACTTGACTCTCCGAACGCTTCTCTTTGGCTATCTTCTTCTTTAAGGCTGATTTGAAATTGTCTTCTGCTTCTAGCTCTGACAACTCGTCGTCACCATCTACCATTGTCGTATTGTTTACGCCCGATTCCGTGCCAGTGGGTTCGATAGGGTCTCCGTCTGCATCACCAGCTTCTACGTCTTCTTCTTGTATCCCTTCTATCTTCATTTCGAGATTACCAACATTCTGTATCGGAGGGATCGGTGCTCTGGAGCCTGCCCGTTTCGCCCTGTTTTTGGCTTGGATCCGTTCTTTTTCTGCTTGCAGCCTCTTCTTCTCTTCTGCCTCTAGGTGAATTTGATGTAATTTATTCTTCGCCCCCACAAGTCTTTCTTTTTGAGACGCTTCCATTCTCTGTAAATATCGGATGGATAAAGAGGGGAGGCTTTGGAGAGGGGGATTTTATAAGAGTAAAGATTTATTTTAAGATAGAGAAAGTTCGAAAATAATTCCTATGAATAGATAGATAGGAATAAGCAGAAATAGGGGGCCAATTGGCGCAGGGAGATAAGCAGGCGTGAGAGAATCGGGTGAACTGTAAAAGAGGAGGAAAATTTTTCACCTTTCCTCTTTTCCGTGGATCTCTCCACGCCTCAAACCAGTCCCGGTTCTCGGGGCTGCCCCGCGCCCTATGGCCCGTCTCTTTACGTTACGTAATGGACTCTAGCTTACCGTTGCAGGCTTTGGGTAAGCTAGCTATTGACCGCCTTACGAAGATGGCTCACTTTATACCATGTAAGAAAACACTGTCATCGGAAGAACTAGCTGACTTAATGATTAAGCATGTCTGGAAACTTCATGGAACCCCACAGTCCATCACGTCGGACAGAGGTAACGTCTTTATATCAAAACTCACAAAAGAAATGCACAAAAGATTGGGAATAACGACACAGTCTTCAACAGCTTACCATCCGCAGACAGACGGCCAATCTGAAATAACAAACAAAGCAGTCGAGCAGTACATCCGACACTTCACAAGCTACAAACAGGATGATTGGTGCACCCTTCTACCGATGGCTGAATTTTCCTACAATAACAACGACCACGTCTCCATTGGAATGTCACCATTCAAGGCCAATTACGGGTTTAATGTAAGTTTTACGGACATACCTACTGGAGATCAGTGTCTCCCTTCGGTAGAAGCACGAATGGATCAAATTACCAACATCCAAAAGGAACTCAAAGATGCATTAATGTTAACGCAAGAAGCAATGATAAATCAACATGACAAGAAGGTACAAGCTACGCCTAATTGGAAGGAAGGGATGAAAGTATGGTTAAATAACAAAAACATAAGCACAACAAGACCAACCGCTAAGTTTTCACATCGCTGGCTTGGCCCTTACACTATACTGAAGCGCATGTCTGCTAATGCCCATAAAATAGAACTACCGAAATCAATGGAGAAAATTCACCCAGTGTTTCATGTAGGACTTTTAAGAAGATTTGAAGCCAGCAAGATAAAGAATCAAGATCAATCACCACCTGAACCAGTTATAATTGAAGATAATGAAGAATACGAAATAGCCGAAGTTCTAGACAAAAGAATCAAACGAGGAAAAATTGAATACTTGATAAGTTGGAAAGGATATGATGCTAACCATGATTCGTGGGAACCAGAAGCTTCAATGAGTAATGCGCAAGAACTTGTTAATGAATTCAATCTCAAATATCCTCAAGCAGAAACTCGATACCGTAGGGTACGGAGAAAGTCATGAGGGTTAAAGCTTTTTTCCCACTGGGTTTTTAATGCTAACCCGTGGAAAGATGCTAGCCCGTCAAGAGGGGGTTGAGTCATAAAAGGGGGAGTGGTGTTATGAGCCGTATAAGGCTACTCTACATATGCTTATACATGTTTGCTCTCATATCTTGTACGCTGTCGAGCACAGACTATAGTCCTCACGTTGCAATCTACTTAGTACTAGAAGGACCTCATTAGTCTTCTCTCATCTCTCATCATCCTATCGAGTCCTTACACAACAAAGGTACAAGACAATAAAGGGCACCTTGAAAAGAAAGGATAGCAAGCATGCTAACAATAAAAGCATTAATTTGGTCATGTGAGATCTAAAGGGCAGAGTCTTACAGAATGATAGAAAGGTGAGGCGGCACGATGAATGCGTTTGCATAGCAATAGTGATAAGAGCTTTTGAGGTGTTGCATAGTAGAAAAGCTGTGTATTGAAGCAGTGAATAAAAACAAGCAATATGACAAAGGGTCCAATAAAGAGTGTCTTGAAAAGCAATGACTGTTATATGTAGGGCACAAGGTAACAGCACTGCCATATCTGAATGAACAAGAGTGTAAGCTCATAAAAATCAATCCCCGGCCATCCCATCTATTGTAGCATCATTGAGAGAGTTATACCCAATGATTAAAGAGGGTGCTATTTTGATGGATGAAGTGGGCCACGTGTATTAATGTGAGAATGCTGAGAAATATGGATTGTATTGTGAATTAAATTTCGAGAGATGATAACATAGGTTTGCTTGTGGAATAGTCTGTTAATACTAGTTGATCTTGATGTGTTTGACAATGGCTTTCAAAGAGCTGTAAGATCAAGCTGAATTCAAAATTAACAAGTTGAATGAAGAATGTGAAACAAGTAGGATATATCAACCAGGAAACATCACTCAATGATAAAAACTCAGGCACAGGGAGGCAACACTAAGACTAGGACACATAAAGGAAATCACACACAATATGTTTAGGCTGAGATGCCAGTAAGACCCAGACCGTTAACAATTCCTAGTAACTGGAAGAAAAGATAAAGACCACCAACTCACACAAAACACTATGTATGTCACAAACCATAATCTGCATCAATGATGCAGCCACGATACTATACTGGTATTGTATTGATGATACTAGTACAGTACCTGCAATTACAATACCCAGAAATCAGGTACTCAGTACAGTACCTCAGATTGGATACGGTACTCAGTACAGCACCTAAAAAGAAGTACAGCTTATGGCTTTAGCCCAGTACAGTAGGATGGAGATACACTCAATACTTTCCTATACTGGTATCTTGTGAAAACCTCTAGGTACTGTACTGCAGTCTGTACTGGACCTGGGCTAGATACCAAGAAGTATCCTCTGTCAGTACCTAGAAAAGTAGGAAACACAAACGCTTTATTTCAAGAAACACAAAGGAAAGATAACAAGACCAGAATGAGACCAGCAAGAAATAACAATGTAATTAAAGATAGTTAATCAAAATTAAATAGTTGAAATCAAGAACTAAAAGAAAAAAAGAAAACCATCCAATAATCATCTCCCCCTCACACGAGCAGCTGCATCATTGCTCATACACTGATCCATGATCAGCCCCGCTTTGACAAATCTACCCTTCATTTTAACATTTTTGACAGACCACATGCGGCCACAAACAAGTCTTTCAATGCGCCTTGGCTTGAGGGAGCTTCTATCTTGTGTGCAAATGTCTGCCGCACATGAGAACCCCCTCTCACAAGTGGATGGAGTGCCACTGATGGCCAAATAGTCGTGAGCAAGACAGCTCAAGATAGGATATTTACCTTTGTTTAACTAAAAACAATACACGAGAGACTGTTAAAGATTGAACTATATTACCAGACAAGATTTGAATACTCACCTTCCACCACTCCAAAGCAAGATGAGGGTTTTCTCCAACCTCAGGAGCAGGATCTTCTGCCATCTCCAAGTACGAGCGGAGCTCGTTTGCCGTGTTTCTTTGGTTCTTAGCTTTATGTTGACAAAACTCCTTGTCTTCTTCAGCAGTTCCAAGACTCTTACCATTGACACAACTAGAGTTGGCAGTGGTTGGTTCATAAGGTCCATCAATCTCCAATTCGGTCTTCTTGTCCAAGTAAGCTGAGTTGATGAGATCCTTTGCAAGCAGGGCAACTAGAGAATTTAACATGATTCGGGTCTGTGAGGCTGAGGCAAGGTACGAAGGGGTAGGATAGAATGGTACAAAGGGGTATTATTCAGATAGAATGGTACAAAGTGGGTCAGATTGATTGAAAAGAGATGGAATGGTATCAAAAAGAGGTGGGATGGTTTCAAAAAGAGGTGAATTAATGAAGAAACTGGTCTGGCTTACCAATCTGGTGTCACCATGGCGTGATAGGTGATTGGTTTTGGGAATCCGTTGTGCTGGAAGAAGGGTGTGGTCATTCATGTATGCTGGGAGAAGGGGTGGGTGAAGGGTGTTGCTGGGAAAAGGGCGTGGTGACTTATGCCAGATGGGAATTGGGAATGGCAGCCTAAAGCCCAATACTGTATTGGTATAGTGCCTGTAATCACAATACTATTGGACCCGATACTGGTATTGGATTGCAGGCACCGGTACTATACTGAGTACAGTACCTAAAAAAAATTGGGTTTTGGCACCTTCAGTACAATAGTGTGTTCCTATGTACTGTACTGCTAGGTACTGTACCCGCTTTTATAGGTACTATACTGTACTGTATCGATACCAGTACAGTTGTCAGCCCTGAGTACATACACAACTACCCAAATGCTAACCTATGATATATAACCATCACCTAGAAATATAATTACATGTACATACAGCCTATAATTTATATGTAACATGTAAGAAAAACATATATGACCTCTAGTTACATATGCATATACCCAAGAAATAACATGTAACATTCAAAATTACATACAAAAACACTAGTAACATCTCATAACTCAGTATCAAGAGTTAAAACAGGCTTATCTTATATGAAACACTTAATGATTACATAACATAACATTAAGTGTACGTAATCATAAAAACATTAAAATATTAAATACAAACCTAATATTGTAAGGATCCCACTATTTAGCGCCCTTGGAGCAGTATCCGGCGCCCCCTCTCGGGTCGGACCCAGGCTACAAACAATTCAGGAGCCCCTTTTTAAACTGAAGGGGCTCCCACACGTTATATATTCATGTCCCCCATTTATCCTTGATTACCTTGCTTGTTCATATTTCCTCTGACATGTAAGTGACACGCATTTAACCTTTATGGCACTGTCAGCAGTAAGTAAGATCAAAAGTGAGCCATTTTAACTTGAAAGATCTTTGTGTAATCTCACTCGGGGTGATGATGAACATGGATTAAAGGATTACAAAACCATTCATTTATAATGATAATTTCTTCAATCAACCTATTGTATATCCATATCCAACAACTTATAACATCATACACAATTACTTCAATTTGATAAACCTAACATACAAATGCATCAAAAGAATTCAAGTAATCAATCTTTTAAATCGTTCCATCTTCTAACATCCCTGCTCATTCATTACAAGAGTCTTCTTTTTTCTTTATTATGTCCAATCAACTCTTTCCATTTCCATTTTCCAATCTCTTAGCAGCCAATCTGGATGTAATCTGAGCAAATTGAGATACTGTATTTGGTTCGGTTTTGATCATTGTTGATTTGATTTCA